TTTTTTAATATTGCATTGTAGAGGAACTGCTCACATTTATTTTATTTTATTATTTATTTTATTTTATTTAATTTTTTTTTTAATATGCATTATAGAGGAATTGCTCACATTTATGATCTAGCAATAATCATATACTATGTAATATTTATGTACTATATCATAATCAAAGTTTTTCTTTTTATTGGAAATATATTACTTTCTATTTTGATACAATTCCCTGCTATAAAGTAGGTTTGTTTCACTACTCAATAATGAAAAATGCACAATCAAATATCAAACTGAGGTAGCTAACTTGAATTTAGAACTAATCCCCATTAAACGGTCATAAATAGCTGCATTTATGACACGAATTTAGCGTGACAAATCAAAACATTTTGCCGTACAAAACCAAATCATATTCCTCATACACTTAGCATAGCTTGTCTCTGATGACATTTACCGTTGTCACAGATCTCAAAAGCATGTCGAACATAATTCTGTCAGCCAAAGCATGCCTTCTGCTGTCAGCTCCCCGACTCGACTGAAGTTTGTCTATGCCTCGGAGCATACGTCTGCGAAAATATGCAAAGCAATTCTCACAGTCAGCTAGCTCAGGCAAGGCGTGCGCTGCCACGCCCTGCCGCCCATCAAATTAATATTATTACCAAGTACACAAAGAGATACACGGGCAGCGGAAAGGTGAGAAGTATTTGATATGCGCCAAATGTAGCGCCAAAAAAAAAAATAAAATAAATAAAAAATAAAGAAAGAGATGTAAAATAAAACGAAATGAAAATCAAATTGGATATTATGCAAACTTACCCGCTGTGGCACAGTGGAGCAGCTGCGGCTGCAGGCTGACGGCCAGGACGAGGCAGAGAGAGAGGCTGGCGAGGATCGGCGTTGGGTGCTGGGAGCGCATGTTTCAGCCGTGGCCCTCTAATAGAATGCCAGGCAAATTAATAATCCGCGTGCTCTGGTCGTACGCCGTCTGGCTGCAAATCGGCTTAACTGGGTCACATCTGCCGGTAGGCAGCAGCACAGCACCACACGAGCTGCTCACCAGCTGCAGCGCCTCTGCTGCGGCTTATGCGGAATGCCTTCAGCGCTCTCCTAGCGAATATTGATATAGTTGCTGTTCGGGCTGCTTATTATGGTTAGTTGGCGCTGAGACACAACCAGTGCCCGTCCAGTGGTTAGTCTAATGTGTGGTGGTGCAGCGGTGCAGTGGTGCGCTGCTCTCTAATATTGGTTGCTTTGCCTTCTTCTAGTTCTCACACACGATTGGGGTCTTGGCATATTTCACAATTGCGCTCGACCAGATGCCACAGCTGCAACAACAGAAACACAAACTTAAGAGCTGTGCAACAACACGTGGCAAGTTTTAAATATTCGCACTATGCTTTGTTTTTGCTTTGTTTGTTCTATTTTATGGCAAACGTTTTGCGCAAAATCCTGTCTTGATATGTTTGTGTGTTTGAGTTTTAGGTTAAGTTATGTGGCCAACAGCATTAGTTGCCCAGGACATTCCACAAAACGAAAGCTCGACTGGCAGCTGAATAAGAATGCCTTGTCAGACAATCAGTACTGTAATTCATGCACGATTAAGTTTTACCTTCTCTTGATCTTATTTTAAATGGCATATGTATATGTAATTTATCATAGCCAAATGAATTGTTAGACTTTCAATTCCCTTACTTTACTTTTGTTAATTTAATATCTAGTGGCATTCAAATTAGTTATACCTTGCCTAATATGTTCGTCCTATGCAGTGCATACTTTGATTACAAATATCTATATAATAGAATTTGTTGCTCTTCTCTTTAACAGTTGAGAGTTTCTTGAAATTGCCAAGTCTGTTAGTCTATTTGCAAGTTTCGCTGGCAAATTGACAAAGTTTACAAGTTGTGTTTATGTTAGGCGCTTAGTACTGTAATTACAATCGATTCCGCAACATTTTAATACTTTGATAAGTATGCCGTGAGGTTCACACAAACTAACTACAAATTTATTAAGTAGCATCGCTTAAGCGTTTGCGTTTAAAAACGCGGCACGAGTTCAGAAACTGTGGTCTACTTAGGCGTGTAATACTGTTATTATAGCTGTACACGCGCATCTAGTGCCTACATCAAATTATTGAAATTAACTTGTAAGCCGTATTAAATTGTGAAATACCCGGATGCGTTTTTATAAAAATTTGAAATTACGAAGCGCAGAAAAGTATGCTACAAAAAGCTGAAATTAATTTCGCTAGTCAAATTCGTGTTTTGCATTGAATACTGTGATAGCTTAGCAGGCAGCAAGCGAAAAGGCACTCGGCATTCTTCAGCTAGCGCGCTTCTCTGAGCAAAAATGTGAACTTGTCCAGAAATTCCGGTACTAGAGCACGCCAGCTCAGTGCTGCGCTGAAAAGTATGCTAGAGAAATAGGAAAAATATTGCGAATTGCTGGCGAAAGTGCTTTCAGGCCCACATGTAGCAATGAGTGTGTGTGTGTGTGGGTGTGGGTGTGGGTGTGGGTGTGGGTGTGTGTGTTTGTATTTGTTTGGGTGCTTGGTTGTTTGTACGAGTGTGTGTGTGTGTATGTCTGTTGAGGCATTCCTTTTGGCCGACTGCCGCTGCCTCTGCTGCTCTGCTGCTGCTGCTGCTGTTACCTCATCTTTCTTTTACGCTCGAGACTATTTGGCATTAACGAAATTTATTTATGCGGGTGTTTAGTCGGGCGTAAAAGGTGTACATATGGCCAGGCAAACACGCCCCCGCTCACTTACTTCCACAGAGAAAGAAAGAGGAAGCAAGAGAGTGAGTGAGAGAGAGAGAGAACTTAGAGATGCACGACACGCGCTTAGGAATTGAAAGGATTTGTCTGCCTTCTGCTTGGGCTTAGACTTGGGCGCGTTGCCAGGATCCAGGTTCGAGTCGGAGCTCTGCGCTTGACCCGGACTTTGTTTGCAGCTTGTACGGAAAAATAATGATTTAAATGCCCTTTGTTTCTGCAAGACACTACAAAGCAGGCCACGATGCGGGAAGAGCTCTGAGAAATGCCAGGCATACGTAAGTAATGCCAAACGGTTTCCAGCTGGTTTAATGAAGCGTTAACGCAAATGTTAAACAAATGTTATTCTCTGGCCGAATGAATTGTATGCATTAAGGAGTAGCTTGATGTTGCCATGTACCACTGTCAATGTTGTTGTTACTGTGATTGTTATTGCTGTTGTTGTTGATAACGTAAATAATACTAAATTGATTGCACAAACAAAGCAGCAGCGGAAGTGTAAATGATTTAACACAACTTCCCACTGCTCCCAGGACTTGCTCTTCTTTCTTTCTTCTTTCAATTCCTGACCTCGGTTTTCTGTGCTTAGCATTTACATTGATGCTCCGGCTGCTGCTGCCTGTACGGCTGAGGTAAAGCAAATAGCTAAGAACGGAAGATGAAATTTGCTGGCCGCCGAACCGGAAACAGAAAATTCTTTTACTTGTAATTTAGTTGATTTGTTGCAGACATCATAAATATAAATAAAATACAGCTAATATATAAAATATATGTATAATTGTTGTTGAAAATATATATCGCTTCAAGCTGTGGCTCATTAATACATAATAAAATTCAATAAATGATTCAATTACATTTCCTGAAGCACACACAAAACTGAATAATTTATTAGAATTTGTAATATTTTTTTCAATTGGGATTTAAGGGAAACTTGGCAGCAACTTGGCTTGTATCTTGGTATCAAATCTCCACTGGCTTGTGATATCCGTTGTAAATTCTTTCAGCTTTCAGCTAAAAACTTATGCTAATTTATTTATGTTAGCTTATTCCAAAAATATTTGCTTTGTATAAAAGGCAAATGGATTTCATTATTGAAATTTTTGAAAATAAACATGCAACAAAATTGAAAATATATTATTTAATTTTAAATTCTCACGTTCATTTGATTAAAACTAATTTATAACATATATTTTATTATTAAATATGTAAACACTTAAATAGTCTTTTATTATTATTATTATTATTTAATTAATTTTTAAACTTCACAATGTCATGAGTTTTAACGAATTTTGAATTCTGTTTGTATTAAATTTTTAAATAGTTTTAGAATTTTAATTTGTATATTACCACTTTGAATTGTCTTTATTATTTTGAAATGTCACACAGTTTATGAGACAAATACACATTGATTCAAATTAAAACTTGTATTCACACTATTTATTCACTTGCTTAACTCCGATTCACATTGCAGCTGCGACTCGCGAAACGATGCGCACGCGACACCGGCTAAAAGTAGACTAAACGAAACGAAGAAGTCGTGGCAGATGCTGCTCGGCTAAAACAACATAGCAGCTGTTAAGGCAGAGAGTGCAAGAGAGAGAGAGAGAGAGAGAGAGCTAGCTAGCTAGCAGCAGTATTTCTTTTAACAGAGGCTGACAGAACACGCACAACTCAGTCAGTGTTAACCTCACAGCGACTGCAGCCCACTGTTAGTTAACATTCACAGCCGAGTGAAAGCGTCTCTCTCTCTCTCTCTCGTTAACAGAGTTCATTCGCTGTTAACGGGTTAGCTAAGCCGCGCAAGCAAAATGCAGTTTTGTGCTTAAGTGTTTTAGCCGTAAAATATTTATTTATGCGGGTGAATTAAACATTTCAGCGAAAGTGCCCATTAAGATTTTAACAGCAAAGTATGTTGAGCCCTTTCAGTAATCTCAACCTATTGCAAGGGACTTATCATAATTATCATAATCATAAGCGCAATTAATCCCCTGTTGAATGACAATTTGCCCAAACGTATAGAGAGAACAAAGCAGAGACACAAACGACCAGGCAGCTGTTTAACAGTGCGATAACATTACTTCTCATTAATGTCTGGCAGAACTGGCAAATTGGGCGGCATACACAATGGAGCCATAGAGCCGATAGAGCTGTGAAATAAAATGGAGAGCTACTGCCTAGAAGCCCTAAGCCAAAATAACAAAGGCAAAGGCAAAGGCAAAGCCAATGGCAAAGGCAATGGCAAAGGCAATGGCAAAGGATAAAGACAATGGGAGCAGCAACAATAACTGAACGCAGGAAAATGCAGGAGCATTGAAACTAGGACACACGCAGGCAACAACAACAACAACAACAACAGCAACAGCGACAATTGAAAACGTGCGTCGCAGGACGACTGGCAAGTGCAAAGCACAAGGATAAGCTTAATATGCCAACATAAACACGCACACACACGCACACACACAAACATAGACGCACGAAAAGGCAACTGAAAGAAAACAAAAGTCGAAATTTATAATGCAGACATACACAGGCCATAGATGTCGCCGCGCCAGAGCAGGAGGCAGCGAGCAGAGATTGCAGGGAGTGAGTGAGTGAGCGAGCGTGCGAGTGAGAGTGAGCGGACGAGAGTGATGGTGATTTGAGAACAATGCATTAGAGCGGCCAGGGGCGAGGCGCAGCCTTTGCATAAAATTCAATTTGTCGTGTGCAGCAGCCATGAATATGCCGCTCAGCCGAGCTTAAGCTGCTCCTGCTGCTGCTGCTGCTGCTGCTGCTGCTGCTGCTGCTGCTGTCGCTGCCGCCGCCTGCAGCTGACACTGAAGCCCACATTTGCCTGTCGGCTAGTGTATAACACAGCTCACAACCCACACACTCGCACACTCGTTTTTTTTTTGCTCCGCGATTGATGTTATTGTTGCTGTTGTTGTTGCTGCTGCTGCTGCTGCTGTTGCGTCGCATGCAGCGGGCCCTGATGCAACATATGCATGAAATTACTTACGAGGCGTCGCAGTCGCTGTCTCTGTTGTCGTCGCCGTTACCGTCACTGTCGCCGTCGTAGTCGCCGTCGTAGTCGCTGTCAGCGTCAGCGTCGCTCCAGCTATTGCTGTCATTGACAGCAGCACTGGAACTGGTTCTGGTTCGCCTGCTGTTGGCTTGTAAAACAATGGCATGCATTTGGCGGCAGACAAGACACATGCATTTATTAACAAAGTACACACACACACACACACATTTCTACACTTTTTTATAGTCATTTTCAACAGTTAAAACAATTGCGCACAACGTTGGTAAATTAAAAACTTTTTCACTTTGTTTACCATTATTTAAGTTTTTTTTTTTTTTGTTTTTTTTGTTTTTTGTGGTCCACAGTTGATAATTATAGAGATCCTAAAACGTTTGCCGCAGCCACAGCTGAAGTGGCCCATTATGTGGCATCAAATGAATGATAATCAGCCGGCTGATAGGACCCAAGAGGGGCAAGGGGCGTGGCTAGGCATGCCTGGCATTCTGTTTGTCATATGCTTGGCCACAGCATGTCCAAAGTTTTAAGTGAGTTTGCAATGTGTGTTTGTGTCTGTGTGTGTGTGTTTGTGTGTGTGTGAGTGTGAGTGTGTGTGAGGGTTGGGGCTTATACGTTGCTCTGTTTAAGCCAGTTTAAGTGTCATAGCAGTTTCACAAAAATAACGCATACGCCATGTGTGGCAGGCAGAACCAAGTGAAAGTGTCCCCAAGTCTAACTTGTTGCCTATTCAATATGAATATTTATTTCAATTAATAATTTCAGAGCTTTCTAGCAGCAGCTAGCCTTTCGATAAATCTTCAAAAATGTAGCTAAAAGTAAAGTCTACTTGATTTAAAGCCTAATAAGATTCGTGTGTCTCTTTAATAAATACTTGGGCAAGAGTGAAGCAGTTGGCTCTTTCTCTCAATGGAGCTCAATTAAGTAGCTCTTAAGTGTGAGTGCGGGACTTTTTGCGCCTCTTGCTCGGCTCGCAACTTCTGCACACCTTTCGCTCTCACAAGTCATTAATCACAGCAGCGCAAAAAGAGGGCAAACTTTAAAAAGGCGAGTGAATGGCAAAGAAAAAAAAAAAAAAAAAAAAAAATATTGAAAATTGCATGCTGATACGCAGCAGAGATAAAAGAATGTGCGCTCAAATGGCTTAGCTGACTTAATTCGATTAAAGCAGAACAAACGCATTTCTGATTACAAAGAAACTCAAACGAGCATCGAAAGAGAGTGGAGCAAAACTGACAACAATTACGCTACAAATGAAGTTGTCATTGAGTTGAGCATTGGCGGGCCCTTAATTACGTTAAGCTCCAGCGCAGAAAGAAGATAGCATGCGAATATTACGTATACGAGCCGTCGCACACCGTCGACCCTTGGGGTGAAATGCAAACTATTTACGTCAATTACTTGTGGCTTACTGCGAACCGGTGAGCACAAAGCCCAGGCTCTAGCTCGACAGCAGTGCATCGCACATGGACAGCTACATAGATTATGATTAGCTCAGCCAAACAGATGGCCCCAAAGGGGGAGCGGGATGAACTCTGCAATTGAAAATCGAAAACTGAAAACTGAAATCTGAAATCTGATAGCTGAAAACAGAAACAGAAACGGCAACAGTTCGCACAGCAGCTACAGAAAAAGCCAGATAAAAGACAACTGGCAAAGGCTGAGCAGAGTCAAAATTGTGAAGCAAATCCTCTCTGATACTGCCAGCCTAAGGCCTATGGCATGTGGCATTCGGCATTCGGCATTCGGCATTCGGCATGCGGCATGCGGCTAATCGTTGCTTTGGCTACAATTTCAGCAAGAGATAGGCGCAATTAAGTCAAAAATTTATTTGATGCCCAATCTGAAATGGACATGAAACCGAGCTGCGTGCTGGCCAAATAATCATGGCCATTGTCTCGATTGTTGTTGCAGCTGTCGTTGTCTGTGTTGCACATTGGGCGTTGCTCGGCCTGGCTGCGAGACACACTGCATTAGCTTCAAGTGCAATGTGACAGCGGCATCGAGTCGAGTGACAGCATTACTACCAGCCAGCCACTCATACACTCGACTGGCCGTCCGTTCGTCCGTCTGTCCAGAGTCCTGCTCCGTGGCTACCTCTGGGCTGCCAGCTAAGCTCTCGGCATCTGTCATTTGTGCATGCTGACTGATTGATCCGGCTCTCAGCACGACGCTCCACAGCTGAAGTGGGGCAACTAAACGCTGCATGCATATTGCAGACTCCGTTTTCCCCTGCGAGCCACTCGACATGCGGCATAAATCAGCAGCAATTGAGGTGCTGCCAAACAATTTAATTGGCGATTAGCCAGGCTGATAATATTGACTGAAACACAGGCCGATATGGAAATGGATAGTTCGAAAAAATATATGCAGATATATGATATAGAGAAGAATACAATATGCAAAATATACATATAAATAATTACTTAACCTGATTTTTATTTAGATTTATCGCTCGCAATTCACAGTAAAGCTGACTTTTAGTAGACTCCAATTTAATTTCCAATTGGATGCAGCGCATGCCATTCAGCTGGTAAGCCCGCTGGTAAACTTGTAAGCCCCGTATAAGTAGCTTACACACAGTTCACAATCCAATGATAGTGAAAATGTTTTTCAAATTTATCCTCTTATTCACTCCAGTCTATTATCTGCTGTCTCTCTCTCTCTCGCTCTCTCTTTCGCCCTCTCTCTCTCTCGCTCTCTAAGTCTTTTAGCAACAATTACGCATTTACACTTTCGGCCAGAGAGACCCCGCATAGGGCGATTGGATATCATTAATGCGGTTAAATTGTATAACCCACTGCTGTCAGAGGCTGCTTACTGGACCAAAACCAGGCTGTGTATAGGTATAGGGCATGTGTGTGTGTGCGCGTCTGTTTGTGTGCTAGGTTTGGGAATTCTCTCTGTCAGGGTTTCGCATAACAGACATGTTCCAAGTGCCAAAAAAAAGTCTGGCCAACATTTTTGGCTTTTCTCTTACTTCTATTTTCCCTTTTAGTTTTTTTTTTTTTTTTTCGGTACACATTTAGCCGCAAGACCAGACAGCCCTGGCTAAAAGAAGGAGCACACAACAACAACTCTGTTGTCTTGCTCCATTTGCAACATTTATGCTGTGTGCTGTCGGTCGGCTATGTCTGTGTGTATGTGTGTGTGTGTGTGTGTGTGTATGTATGTGTGTGTGCTGGTCATTTTATTGTTTCCAGTCAAAATGGTCAAATGGAAATTTTGTTTTTAGCAATTTTTGTATTTTTTTTTTTTTTTGCGTTGCGATTTGCGTATAGATTTAGATTGAGCTGTCGTAGATGTTATTGAGGATTGTGCCGTAACGAAAGGCCAGCAGAGACAGCAACAGATAACGCCTGGCCATATCATGTTAGTTAAAGTTGGGTCGCTCTAAACCGAGTGATTAGAATAATCGCCGCTGGTGCCTTGGAGCCGTCTCCATGCGCACCCTTTGATATCCAACTAAATCCAATTCGTATTCACCGTTGGCTCATAAAATTTGCAAGCCTTCGATTGTCAGTTTTTGGCACTGCTTAAACATTTTTATTACTCTCGCATGGGCTTAAGAGCGAAAGCTCTCTATTCCCAGGCAAAGTGAATTTTATGGCTTGTCCATTTCGCTCCAAAGGATCAATTTGGGCATTTTGGACAGACCAAAGTAACTCAAACATAAAAAAATATCATTACATACATATATACAATAAACTTTCGCAATTTGTGAAATGCCAAAAGTTTTTATTTCGATTTTAAAGATCTACTAATTATATTCAATTATTGGTAATTAACAACTGTTCACAAGTAGCTGAAAGATATTGTCTTTTGTTTTTCCCAAACACGGAAAATTTATTCAACGCCCTTCCACTCGCTCTTCGCAGTTGGCGCTCGTTTCGTGGAGCTGCGGCAGGAGGCGGTGTTATAATTAATTTTCAAATTCAACCATGTCCCACGCCACAATTCGTCGAGCAGCTGGGGGTGCGGGGTGATATTTAAGAGTTTGTTTGCACAGCAAATGCCGCCGCAATCGTATAATTTTATTCAGATTTCGCTGTCAAAGCGCGAGCTGCAAATTTAGCATAGCTGGCAATTTGCTTGTCTGGGCTGTGGCTGCGTGCTCTGTGCTGTGTGCAGGGGGCGGGAAGATATATTATGAATGTGTCTGTAGTGCCACGCCTTGCAATTTATTTTCCATTGCGTAAAAGTGTCCAAAACTGCAAGTCGCACATTTGTTTTGGTCCCTTATGAGTTTTACACGCAGCAGGAGCAGGAGATAAACGCAAGGTAAGGCAGTCCGCGAATATACTTTATTTATGAGTTTTGAGAAATTCAACAATTGTTAGATATATGGCAGAGTTACTTCTGGGCCACGCCCAAAATCTTCTCTATTTCGCAGATGCGATCCAGCACCTCCTGGTTGCGAGCTCTCTGATCCTTCAGCTTGTCGGCTATGGCGTCCAGGGTAGCCGCAACGGCCAGCAGCGATAGATCTGTGGTATTCAGATCCCTGCGCGTCGGATGTATCTTTGCCACGGGCACAACTGCCGACGGATCCACATCTGAAATTGGTTGTATCAATAGATCGATAATAATTGTGTGAATATAATTGACTTAAGGCAATATATTTTCAACCTGAATCGGAAACAGTTGTTGATACTCCATCTGCGGTTGCTTCTGGCACGGAAATGCTCGATGGAGCCGCCGAAGTCTCCACGCCAGCTTCTGAAGTCACCGCTGGCTCTGCTGCAGGAGTCTCTGCTTCTGCTACTGGAGTTTCTAATGGAGCAGAAGTCTCCACAACAGTAGCTGCTGCAGGTTCTGCTGCCGGAGTTGGAATCTCTACAGGAGCTCCTTGATTTGCCACAGGCTCAGCTGTCGCAGCAGGAATCTCCTGAACAGCCGCTGCAGTTGGCGCTGAACTCTCTTCGACAGCCACTGGAGATGCTGCAGGCTCTAATTCTGGAGCAGGAGTCTGCTCGACAGCCATTGGAGCTGCCACCGGCTCTGCAACTACTGAACTTTCCTCGACAGCCACTGGAGATGCTGCAGTTTCTGATTCTGGAACAGGGGTCTCTACTGATACTGGAGCAGTAGAGTCCACGACAGTGACAGGAGCTAATGTCGGCTCTGCTGATGGTGTTGCCACAGGAGCTACAACTGGAGTCTCAACGACAGTTGCTGGCACTGTTGGAGTCTCTACGATTGGGACTGAAGTCTCCACAGCAGCAGTGGTCGCAAGTTCTGATTCTGGAGCTACGGTCTCCACGACAGCGATGGGTGCCGCTACCGGCTCCGGCAATGGTGCTGCCACAGGTGCCTCTACTGGTGCTGGAGTCTGCACAACAGCTGCAGGCACCTCCACTGGATCTGAATCCACAATGGGAGGTGCTGGAGTTGCCTCCGACTCAACTGCCGGAGTTGGTGCCTCCACCACAGTTTGTTGAGTTTCCGTCGGCTCTGCTGCCGGAGTTTGATTCTCCACGCCAGCCTCCGAAGTCTCCGAGACTGCTGCCGGAGCTTCGGTAATTACTGGAGTTTCAACGGACTCTGCTAAAATTGCTGCGGGGGCTGCCGCCGGAGCAGGAGTCTCTGCGGCAGCTGCTGGAACTGATGCTGCCTCTGCTAACGGCGCTGTAGTCTCCACGACTGCAGCAGGAGTTACCAATGGCTCAGTTACCGTAGTTGACACTGGTGCTGGTTCGGGTACTGCTGTCTCCACAACTGCTGCTGGGGACTCCACCGGAGCAGGAGTCTCTGCGACAGCTGCTGGAACTGTCACCGGCTCAGCTATAGGCTCCGCAACTGCTGCTGGACTCTCAACTGGCTCAGCTACTGGCGCTGTAGTCTCCACGACCGTATCAGGAGTTGCCGCTGCCTCAGCTACTTCGGCTAGGGGAGTCTCCACAACGGCTGCAGGAGCTGCCGCTGGCTCTGCCTCAGGTACTACTACGGGTACTGGAGTCTCCACAGCTGTGGCCACAACCTCTGCTGATGGCGTTTCAGTAGCTTGCGGTACTGGAGCTGGAGTATCCACAGCTGGAATTATAGTTGCGATAGCAGCAGTCGCTGCCGCAGCTGGAATGTCCACGACAGCTTCTGGTGCCGATACCGTAGGTGCTATCGGAGCTTCTACCGGAGCTACTACTGGCGCTGCGACTGGAGATTCATCTGGAGCTACAACCGGCGCCGTTGCTGAAGCTGCTGCCGGAGCTGCTGCTGGAACTGCTGCTGGAGCTGCCGCTGGATCTACTACCAGAGTTGCTGCTGGAGGCTCTGCCGGTTCTGCTACTGGATCTACTACCGGTGCTGCTGGTGCAGGTTCTGCCGGTGCTGCTGCTGGAGCTGTTGCCGGTTCTGCTACCGGCGCCGCTGCTGGAGCTGCTGCTGGAGCTGCTGCCGGTGCTGCTGCAGAAACTGTTATCGGCCCTGCTGCCGGTGCTGCTGCTGGTGCTGCTGCTGGAGGTGCTTCAGGAGCTACTGCTGCAGGGGCTTCTGGAGCTGCTGCCGTTGCTGCTGCTGAAGGTACTTCTGGAGCTGCTACTGGAGCTACTACCGGAGTTGCTGCTGGAGCTGCTGACGGTGCTGCTGCCGGTTCTGCTACCGGTGCTGCTGCCGATTCTGCTAACGGCGCTGCTGCTGGAGCTGCTGCTGGGGCTGCTTCCGGTGCTGCTACTGCCGGTGCTGCTGCTGGAGCTGCTGCTGGGGCTGCTTCCGGTGTTGCTTCTGGTGCTGCTACTGGAGCTGCTTCCGGTGCTGTTTCTGGAGCTGCTGCCGGTGCTGCTACTGCCGGTGCTGCTGCTGGAGCTGCTGCCGGTGCTGCTGCTGCCGGTGCTGCTGTTGGAGCTGCTGCCGGTGCTGCTGCAGGAGCTGCTGCCGGTGCTGCTGCTGGAGCTGCTGCCGGTGCTGCTGCTGGAGCTGCTGCCGGTGCTGCTGCTGCCGGTGCTGCTGTTGGAGCTGCTGCCGGTGCTGCTGCTGGAGCTGCTGCCGGTGCTGCTGCTGGAGCTGCTGCCGGTGCTGCTGCTGGAGCTGCTGCCGGTGCTGCTGCTGGAGCTGCTGCCGGTGCTGCTGCTGGAGCTGCTGCCGGTGCTGCTGCTGGAGCTGCTGCTGGTGCTGTTGCTGGAGCAGGCGCTTCTTGAGCTGCTGTCGGTGCTGCTGCTGGAGCTGCTGCCGGTGCTGCTGCTGGAGGCGCTTCTTGAGCTGCTGTCGGTGCTGCTGCTGGTGTTGCTGCTGGTGCTGCTGGTGTTGCTGCTGGTGTTGCTGCTGGTGTTGCTACCGGAGCTTCTGTCGGTGTTACTGCTGGTGCTACTGCCGGTGCTGGTACCGGAGCTGTTACTGGAGCTGTTTCAAGAGCTGGAGTTGCCACCGCAGCAGCTGGCGGTGCAGATATATTTGCTGGTGATGCTTGGGTTGCCATTACGTTTGCTTGGTTGTGGGATATGTTGTTAATTGCTTTTTTACAGTTCTAAAAGTCTTTCATTTCCTGAAAATGTTCCGTCGACTTAATATTTGCAATTGTTTCTAAGCTCCTTTTAGCCCAAGGTAGAAAAGGAGGGCTTCAGCAAATTGTCACTTTCATTACGAACAAACAGGTCAAGGTGGATGGTATAAGCGAGAACAGATAAGTCGCTTAGCCTTGGCCTTCGGAAGAGTCAGTGGCCTGAACAAAAGCTGCTTTTAAATATGATGCAACCGAAAGGAAAATTGCAATTGAAAGAGGGAAATTGCAAAGCCCATGTGAGCTTACAACAAACTTGTCGTCATTCACGCTGTTTTCCCAGCCTCGATCGATAGACTGCAATGGATTTCCTATTGCATTGGCGCCACTTTGGCGAGCGTCGTGAAAAAGCGCTTGAATGAGCAGAAAAACTAGTGGAAAATTCTGGGAAATATATTTCAAATTATGATAGAAATTATATAGAACAATCAATGTGAGTTTATTCTGAAGTAGACAAAGTCTCAGGATGCTTTAAGGTAATTAATACATAATCTGAATTCAATCAGAGGCTTTATGCTGCTGAAATGTGTTTCTAAGTAAAAAATTTTGTTAAATATGAAATGTTACTTGTTTCAAAGTTGAGTTTAAATTATGTATTTGATTTGTTATATTGACTTGAATTGCTAATTTGTTACGCCGTCGAACTATACGATTGGAATAGACACGTTCAACTGGCCAAGCATTGCGTTCTCTCATTTCTCTATGCCTCTTTTCACTAATTTTCTTTCGTCGAGAAGCCCGACGAGCGCCCATTGAGAACTTAAGGACTGAAAGAATGTATTTAAGTATGCGGAAAAACCTCGATTTATGGTGAGTCGACTTAGGGCGGCTTTGTCTCTGTCATTCTCAATTTCGTATATCAACAAGTGTCTCTTTATCAGAGAGTAGGCACTAGGGAATATATAATTTTAATGATTAAATAACTGTTGTGATTTGTAAAATGTATATATATCATGGCAATATAAATTTGTATTTACTTGAAAAATAAATGATTTGTTTGCCTTGCACATCGCTTTCAGCTGCATGTAGCTAGTTATTTATTTAAAGCTGATTACTTTCTCGCAGTTGTCAACAAATTGTAATGTAGCTCCATCCACTGGATATTTGGCAGACGGCGTTCAATGTCTGACACTTTGACAAACTGCCACGACGCAGGAGCCGCTCAATCGGAACACATTAGCTGGTAGAAATGTAATCGCTGCGAACTAAGAAATAAATCTTTCAATTTTTCGAATGAATAAAGGATATAAATGCAGCCAAATGTGAAGCAATTCTCGATTGCAATGCATCCCACGCCGCCTCCTCGATGCTGCAACCAGTTTCAATAGAGTTGCACATGTCACGACTGTAGACAGCACTCTGAAGGGGTCCTGGGGGCGTACGCGAATGCGACGGCGAATGTGGGTGAGGATGAGGAGGAGGAGGAGGAGGAGGAGGTTGAGTATGAGGATACAGATGCAGATGCGGATGCGGATGCGGATGCGGATGGTTGGGGTAATGTGATCTGCGTACAATTTGCTGCCATCGCGACGTTTAAATCCCAACACACTTGAGACTTGATACTCTCGCAAATAGTTATACAATATGGCCAAGGAAAGCAATCGCGATGGGGCGTACAAAATAAAATAACGGATAAATAAAGGATGGAATAAAGAATTCATTCGCACAAATGCAAAATGCTTCAATGGAAATCATTCCAAGCCCCACTCAAAGCTCAGACCCAAGGCACAAGGCACAACGCACACGGCGCAAGGCACAAGACACATCCGTCGGAGACACTGAGTTTGCCAGCCGTCGCTCCGAGATTGAATTGGCAGTTCAATTTCACGTATTATTGACATTTAAGACCGAGCATCGGATATAAACGGAGACCCGCTGCCGGCCAGACAGCTGAAGCTATTGCCTGCCTATTATTTCATGCGATAAATCAATCGAGTCGTGTGTGAAGAGCGTAAAGGATAATCAAAAGGCCGAAGGAAGGAAGCGTGCATTTCCGCACTCCCTCAATGGTCATCAAAGAGCAGCTATGCAAAAATGAAGCACATTATCTGAATATGGAACTGAATGGCACTGAATCTGTTGAGGTAAACAACTTAAACTATTTTGTTTATTTTATTTATTCGTATTAAATTTAAATTTTCATTAAAAACAAGCAACACACACGTGTAAGTAATTACTGTCATTCGACACGGACCGCAGGCAAATACATACACAAATACAAATCAGAACTTGAATCCCGATATAGCATTCCGATGCGATTCGAACTGAACGATCTGAGAGCAGGTTTTGCACGCTTCCGGGCGCATTTTGCTAAATTGCAAATATTTTCCAATTCGCATGCATCAGCAGCACGAAATGCAAACAATTTTGCCTGGCAGCCACAATGGCTCACAAAAAGGAAAACTATCAAAAACGGACTGGCAATACAGTAGGCGACTTATTAAATACCCTCTAAACAAAGCAGCTACTGTAAATGAGTAATTAAATGTACATATATATTTTTTATTAGTTTATTTGTATGCTCTGAAAGGAATATAGAAATGATGTTCATCTATATACAGTAGAGTCCGTTTATAACGACTCCCCTTAAAGCCCAAAATTATAATTATACATATATACTTATACTTATATGAGTAAGCTTATGTACTTACAGCGTCTGCCGGATAAAACTACGGTCCCTTGAGCGTCACTATAACGGGATTCTACTGTATATATTTTCAATCTCAAAATGTGTGGTTTCTTTCATATTTATTATCTGTTGGATAAGCATTTCCTTAGACATCTCTATACGCCTCCCTTTGCGCTATATCTCTGCTGCTTCTGGCAGCGATTCGATATGTTGACCTGAAGTCAAGATACCCACTCATGGCACTTGATTACGTACAGGGTGTTTAAAGCACAGCCCATTGAAATGGCTACAAAAAATGTGTAGGCCGAACGATTTTCCCGTGCTGTAGCTGCAATTTTTGCCGCGTTTGCCAACACTGGTTGCA